GAGACTCATACAGACACAGAAATTATCGACTCAGAAAAAAAAGCTGATTAAAGGCAGCTCGGTTTACAGCTCTGGTATCCCAGCTGGCTTTTAGGCAAGGCTGGAGGTTAATTCTCACTAACTGAGTGAGTGTAAGTTGAAATAGCAGTGCAAATAAAAGGGAATGAACAAACTCTTAATACAGGGGGGCTTTTCTAAATTCACTGCAGAGTAAAAGGAGAAAGGTCAGGCAGGTGATTTGATATTTCCTCTAAAAGTTGCTAAACCTCATGATTTTATCGTGCCTCATATACTGTCAAGCATAAAAAACCCATAACTTTTGTTTGTGTATTTAAATGATTTGTTCAAGACCTTTTAGAGGAATTTTCCAAGACAAGGAAATGGAAAAGATAAGTTAATAAAGACAAATAAAAATCGTGAATTTCTTTATTACATTTTAATGTTATGCACTTCACTAAAAGATACTTGAGACAACATCCCACTGCTAAACAAAGCAGCATAAAGTCAATTTAACTTTTTTAAAAGTGATCAGCCCTGTCCAACAGCAGCACATTACAAGAAGAGTGCAGGACCTACAGTAGTTCCTATTAAAGACAGCAGGAAAAGTTCCAGAATACAATTTAAAAAATCAATTTATAGCAATCAAGCAGAGAAAGATTCAGGCATTATCCATTAAACTGACCATCTAATTCATGTACAGATTTGTTAAAAAGAGCAACAACCAATGCTTTTATTAAGTAGCATTCAAAAGGGGAGATAACATTATCAATTTTAACCTCCAAGCTGTAATTTGATCTTTCTTGGTCTCAATTCTGTAACTTAAATAATATGTCTGTGATATTAGCAAGTGCAGGTAGATGGACTTCAAGAATAAAAAAGGTAACTTACAGAATGTGAGAATACCATATGGGAAGATGATTGCGCCATTTAAGTAATGGCTTAATTTGGTTCTTCTTGTGAGAGGCCAACTTCTGTTGACTTGCGTGCAGGCTGCATTCATAAAGCCACCCCACTCTCCTGAAGCCACAGTTTTCCCCCGAACCCCCGTCTTTCTGTTGTCTATGCTGTTACGCAGGAAGGCACACTGCCTTCATGTGCACAGACAGACCGCCAAGCTCCTTGGATTGTGAACTCAGTTGTGAAAACCAGCACGTTCACACACAGGTCTGGCCTTGGACACTGCAGCCACAAGCTAAAAAGCACCTACTAAAAAGCCTGTCGTGGTAAACAGCTGTCTTGTGAATGAGGGCAGGATCAGGCCTCCTTGGGAAATCAAGAAATGATTCAGGAGCAGCTCCCAACAGACCTGTGAGTGAACATGTACAAACATTTCTGCTACATACCATGCTTAATAATGCTTAACCGTCCAGCACTAATCCTACTGTCCCTGGGCATGCAGGCCAGCTTAGGAATGGTAATTGCATTAAAGCATGTGTTGCAGAATATGTAGTGTATGGTTACAGCAGTGCATGAATATCACAGAACAGAGAACTGCATTTCCAGCAAATACGGGGCCCGTTTGAAGAATGGCCAGCAAAGAAAAACACTGGGCAAAACTATTAAATTTCATACACCCCTCCTCATGCCATGCTACTGGAATAGTTAGTCTCTCACTTTTCTCAGTTTTATACATGCGTGCACTCACGTGCACACAGAAACAGACATGAAAACAAAGGCAATATTAGTGCACTCTGATAGGTACAGCCAAGGGAATCGAATCAAATCCTTCTCAGCAAGCAGGCAACTGCTTGGAAAGACTATTCTTCCCTCCAGGTGTTTAACACTCCCTGATAGCTTTTCCAAGGCAGCTCTTCCTGCTGACACTGAATTCTTGCTCCCCTCCCTTGTCTCCCCTGCTGCTGGGCTTAATGCCCTTGAGATGTTTTTAGATTCTTCTTTGGACTCTCAGCTTATCTAAGCTGCATGCTTTTAACAGTCAGCCCTGCCTCATCTCTCATTTCCTGTAACTTCCAATCTCTCCTCCTTCATCTATCCACCCCCTGCAACCCAAATTCTTCCATCCCTTTGGATGTCTTTGCCATTCCGGTCCTTTCCAAGCTGCCTTCAACTCCACTGCCAAGTCTCATGATTTATTATTTATTATTCCTGTTTTTGTCAAAGCCTCAGAAACATAAAGCCAGGTGACGCAGTGAAAAGCAAAACTCCCTGGCAAAGGTAAAGCTTCCCACCTTTTCTGAGTAACAACAGGAAACCGAAGCTGCTTAGAACAGTTCAAAGACACTGCTTTTTCAGAGTCATTGATTTCAACCGCTCCCTCAAGACACAGAAATCTTTAAATAGGCCCCAAAGAGGATCTCAACTGAGTATCTATGCACATGCAGAGAGAGAGAGAACTTGAAGGCAGGATGGATCAAATTTCCATGAGCCCCATATTCTCTGATGAAACTGTTCACACTCCAAAGAAAAGGTGAGGTTGCTCAAGAGAGCAAAGTACTTGCGTGTCAAAGAGGTGGGCATGCAGAGCAGTTGTCGACAAAGTGGGGCCAGTGGGGCTAGTAGTAAAAGGCAGAGGGATGAAAAAGGAAGGCCCTGCGTGACGTGGCTGTGTATTGTGGCCTTCTATGACCTGCTTTTAGATGTCTGGACAGGCAGTGCCAGCTCCAGGTTGTGAGGGGGCTTTGGGCAAGATGCCACGATAGGTCCACCACCTTCTTGCTTCCATCCCTGCCACCCATTTTCTAGCCTTCTTCCTTTGGGCTCAATTTGTACAACTGCCTGGAGGAAGAGCAAAAGGTAAATGAAGGATGCTGCAAGGGCTGGCAGCGAGGCCCCTGCAGGGTGGACCTTGGCAAGTGCCCAACAACACCTACTTTTGATGTCAGCCTGTAGACAGGCAACCAAAGGAAGAAGTTCGCCGAAGAATAAATTGGCTCCACACATGGAGCATGGTCTGATAGGACTGAGTCACAGTAATACTGGGGAATTAAATACAGATTGTTCCAAATGCTGCCACTTGGGCCTGACTGGGCTAGTTTATCCTGGACTTACTGAGACTGGGTAGGGTTCCTTATAAATTACGTAAATCCAGAAGGGCCTGGAGGAAAATCTCCCCACATCCACACAAGGAAACCAGTGCATCAGCACTAATGTGCTTTGATATCCCAGGTCCATCCCACTGCAGACCAATGGCATACCTGCTAATTCATACTACCTTCTAAATCATTTGTTGTGATTGGATTAAAAATTACTAGGATGAGTAAAATGACTAAGTTCACACATCCCTGCATAGAAAACAGTACCTTCTCCTTTGTATTGGCTCACTCTGGGAGAATACGTATAGGACAAGCCCTTCTTATTCAGACTTTAACATCGCAGATTTATGAACAAACGCTTCCTTACAGTAAATATTCAAAGTACTTCACACAGATTATTTGGTCATCATCCTTACAATAATCATGCAAAGTATTTTTTCCCTCTGCTACAAAAATACCCAGAGTAACTAGTTAAGAGCAAGTAGTTTGCTCATGCTGGTTGTCAGCCAGAAAGAGGTACCGGTGAAGCATGCCAGGCACACACAGAAATCACCTTCGCACATCTCTGTCACTGCAGGGCCAGAGCAACAACGGGACTGGCAGACCGACAACAGTTGCAGCTCATGGACACCAGAGGCTGTTTCCCTGCTCTCCCTTGCTGAATCTAATGGCAACCCTGCGCTCCCCACCTCACTAAACAATCTCCTTCTGCCACTGCCAGCCCCCACATCCTGTCAGCATGGAAATATAAAAGAAGACTACTTACCAAAGAAAAAAGCACTAGAACAAAAATAGTCACACAGTTACAAGGTAAGTGTCTGCATGTTATAACTCATAGGAAGGAATATTCAAAAGACGATGGTTCTCAACATATGCACACATTCTGCAAAAACCTAGGCTCCTATTTGCTGTAGATGAACTTCTGTGGGCTCCACACATCCTGTAACTAATGCCCACAGCCAGACACAAATGATATTTTTGCAATTAAAATGACAGTGCTATTCAGAGGATTCACTGCCAAATCTCAACACGCCCTCCCCCAGGCACTGTATCTTACGGCAGTGTGGGGGGAGGGGGATTGTATCTCATTCCTGTTATTTGCTCTCAGCTATCTTCATTTTCCTAAATATATCACGTACTTCCACGCTGCAAGAAATCAAAAGAAAGTGTGTGAACATCATGTCATGAGAGCAGAGGCCTTCATGCCATGCCACTGTAGTCACAGAAGTTGTGGCCTACATACACCTCTGTCCAGAGAAGCAAATTATTCTCCTCCCCAGGAGAGAGGAAGGAAGGTCAGGAGGAGACTGCACCTATGGTACATTCTTAGTTTATTCCCAGTGGATAGTCCCATGTTGATGCAGCAGGTCAGTTTGGTGATTCATTTCACCATCCTTCACAGAAATCACTGCCTCACACCAGCTAACTCCAAAGATCCGCCGACCACGTGTCCCAGCACCTGTCTCCTCTTTGCATAGGCAGGGGGAAGAACCATTTTCAGCACTGCAGCCCCTTTCTAGGGAGGTTGCATGTGACTTGCTGCCAACTTCTCAGCACACATAGCAGCTTGGGTTCACTGAGCTGTCAATCTGCTGCATGTACTGCCAGCCACAGTGCTTGACTCTAAAAAAAAGCTGAGGAAACTCCACAAGCTGCAAGGCCAGTTATCTCCAGATGGAGAGACACTGGAGTGCAATGCTCCACGTGCTTGATTGATGTAGGCGGCTAGCCCAAGGGCTTCTCAGAACCTATTCCAGAAAAGAATTCTTCATAATTGTGGCTAAGATCCCAAGGAATGCGCTACAGAGAATAGCTTCCTTGGAAATATAGGCAGTGGCCAATCTGACATGCCTGAAATTAAAACAGACCCTCAGGTATGAATCCTGTGCCCTCTGAGACACAGTCTGGAGACAGAAATTTCAGCAAGCCACTGACTGCCAGAAAATGTAACCATAACAGGACTCCACCGCTGTGCAACGCTGTTTTAGCACAGAAACTGTGCCTTACCTTTGAAAGTGAGCTGCACCCTTGGAGTAGCAAAGAGGTAATCCTTGGAGTAGGATGGCCACCAGCCCACGATTAGCAGGGTGGCCCAGAGCAAAAAGCCAACCAGCGGCATTGTAGGGATTTCTGTGGTTCTAAAATCCAGGCAGAATTCTTAGGAAATCTAGAGGAAAGAGAAAGGCAGAAGTATTATTATTCTAAAATGAACAACTGAAATGTATTTCTTTTAAAACTCTTTCTATTCTTCTGCTCAACTCCACCTTTGGAAAGAGAAATGTGCAGGAGAAATTCAGCAGTGTAACCTTCAGAAGCATGGGCCAATTTTCCAGTGCATAGTTTTCATCAGATAACTTAACTGCAGATGCACTTATAAACAAACCGGGTAAGATACGATTTAATTTTAAAGTAAAAGAAAATGATGCTGTCACAGCAGAGTCCAGAAGTACAAAATACTTCTGGTCCATAGCAGGTCAAGCATGTGGCTAAGAGTCAACACCGTGAATGATACAGATTTTGCATTGCTACAGAATGCATGGGAACAATTTGATGCAAATAGTATTTGACTTGCCCAAGAACATTCCTGATGACATGTTGTGGGTATCCACCTGAAACTGTGAGAAATTTCTGGGTGAAGTATTTTTAGTCAGGATACTAGCAAAAGCAACATACAAAGGACAGATGACACTAAGTTTCTTACTGGCTGATGTTACCCAACAATAGTGGATTCTTGAGTCCTTGAAAAAAATTTCTCTTCTGTCCTTTGCCACTGTTGTACATTCATGATCTAGTGGTGGATAGCCATGTAACATATAGTTAAACCCTACCTGTGTACCACCTGGTTCACCTGTTACATTTCTTGTGTCAGTCTTCTGGCGCTCTCCAGGTGTGCTGACCACAACTCTTATTATCCCTAGCAAGTAAACCAATGGCCCTGTCGGCTGGGACTACAGGAGCTGTAGTCCAATGCATCCGGAAGGGACCAAGCCGGGAGAAATCTGTTCTGTGTAAACAAGTCATATCTTGGAAGAATTAAGGGCCTACTTTATGGACAGCTGGAGTACAGAAGATCCCAAACTTAAATCCTATTCTTGTTTTGCAGATCTATAATATTTGGGGTACATTTGGTCTAACACTCAACCCATTATTTAGTTTCCTGTGATACACTCCACACATTTTGGAACATCTTCTGGGTGATTATTTTGATTTACTTCGGCCCTGCTTTGTTCCCTTTCTGGGTTGGATTGTAACCCTTTTTACTTTTGCTTGAGCCTTCAACCTTAAATCACTTTCAGCCTTCCATGCTATTTCTAGTCCTCAAGGTTGCAGAGGAAGAAAATAGCTGCAGTTCATGCTACAGAAAGCAGATGCATATATAGAACCTGGAACTCTCATTTGTTCTCTGCCCTATACTTATCTCCTCTCTTATGAGGGAAAGAGATCCAAGCACTGAGTGAGCAAGGCAGTGTGTAGAGTGTAAGAACAATTTGTTATAGTAACTTTCTGTGTCCACAGGTAAAAAACTTAACAAATCAGGAACATGTTTCAACAGTGATGGTTTCAGTGAGATCATGTCGTGCTTGTCCGATGCACAATTGGGCCCTGTGTGTCTTTTCACCAGCTGAACTCTATCCTGGGTCACTGCCTCCCTACCAGAGCATCAGAATTTCCCAATGTAGTCAGAGGAGCCTGCAGGAGGAATGAATATCAGGCCATAGGAGCCCAGCTGCAATTAACAGGCTCACATGCTGCTCTCATTTGGTAAAGTAAACAGGGTTTGATTGAGGGGCAGTAATCAAGTCGTCTCCTCTCAGGAATGAAAAGAGTTCTTATAGCCTTATCCTATGGCAGGGAGAGCCAGAGCAGCCCACCCACTAGGGACTCTTCCAACCCTGCATGAGACGGAGAGAAAAGAGGCTGCAACTCCTACTGCGAGCCACCTCTTTGCCCTCCCACTGAGCACAGAAATGCAGTCGAGTAGGGGAAGGAATACTTGTACAGTACAGTCTCCGCTTTCTAGGCAGGAGAAATCTGGACTTAATTATTTAAAAGATAAAAAAGACAAAACACTCTCTCCTACACACACTCAGCATGTGTGTGTGTGCGCATGTATATATATAGTGTGTGTGTGCATAGTGTGTATGTGTGTGTATGAAGTGCATATGTGCTCAGCTGGGTTCCACTGAGGCACTGAACTACAACAGATTTGAGAGATTTGCCTACATAGAGTGCCAGGGGCCCTATGGAAGTGGCTAGCCAGAATTCAGATGGGACTGAGTTTGTGTAATTTAAAGCATCACCTTTGTTCATCCGAAAGTGTCAGTCACACATACTTTTCCCAACTCCACTCAGACACACAAAGAACAACCCACAACCCACCATGAACCACACCTTTGCCCTTTATCCAGTTCCTCTGGTTTTGAACCAAAGATAGATTCCTGGCCTTCTGTTTTCCTGGAGGAATTGCTTTTTATACCGCAAGCTAACCGTCCAAGCTAACTGTAGCATCCCTTCTCTGATTTCTACAATTTGATTTGGTGGAGACATACAATTCAGTTACTCCAAGGTCACTGAACATTATTCCTATAAACAAATTCACCACCCTGAGCTATAGCAAAACAACTAAACACTACATAAAAATATTTCAAAATGCACTATACAGAACTCTAGACTGGCACTCAGAAAAACTGTTTCTCTCATGGAGCAACAAAGCTTTCACTGCAATCCTTGAAAGTCAGTTATAAAGCCCTAACTGATTTTAGGTTAAGCAGACTTGTTAGATTTTAGAGATGTTGTTGAGAAATTCACTGTGCTGGGAAGCTCAGCTTCTGGTTCTGGGGAGCTGAGCATACTCTATACATTTCAGGCATCTGCTGTCTAAAAAAGATGCAGCAAGGATAAAGCTAGCAAGCAGAATAAGAGAAACAGTATCCCAGCGGGGAAAATCACCCAAACAGTGAAGTGACTGTGTCCAGATCATGCTCTCCTGCCCTTGCACTGCAGTCAAAGGCACACACACAAGGTTTGTACTCAGAATGTTGCGCTAGTTGTGGCAAGAAGCATCCGCTCCTTCTGCCACTTCTTCCTGAACTGAGGGATCATAAGCCCACAGACGGGGCACCCAACTTTCCTTTCTTCATTATGATAACCGCTCTGAAATAGTTGGCTTGAACTCTGCTTATTTCAGGGGCTGAAAAGTGGCTGAGCTTCAGTTACGAAAGGATCCTTGATCTCCAAGCATGACACACTAGTTCATTCCTAAGCCTGCACAGTGGCGTATTAGCCTCTTCAGCCTGCCTTCATCAGCAGAAAGCCTGAAACTGCAGAGCCAACAAAATTCTGCGCAACAGCATTCTCTAGATCTGTTTGCTTTCCTCTCCCAGCTTTCTGTTCCTTCTTTCTGCCCCCTTTTTCTTTTCGCTGCACTCCTTGCCTCCTTCCTTTTTTCCTTACATTCTTCCCCTCCTCCCTCCTCCCCTCTCCTTCTCTGCTCTTTTCCTTTGTTTGCCATCTCACTCACTCTCACTGGCACGCACAGCACAATCCAAATGCAATATCGGTATTTGCCAGAACTATTTCCCAAGGCCAGCAGGGGTTTGATTTAACTGCAGCCGATTGTAGCATTTATTTCACAGGGTAATTTGGGTTTTAGACATTCTGGTTCCAAAAAGGCCTGATGTGTGTGCTGAGGGAAGAATCTCCAAAAAGGGAAGTGCGAATGTGTGGAGAAAGAAAGACAAATAATACAAATATTTACCTAGTGCAAAGGAAATTGCTATAATATATTGCCCCTGGGAAACTTTAACTTCTGCAATTGTGGTGTATTGCCCACAGCTGAAGAAAGCTGCATCCTCCTGGGAGTCCATCCATTACTCTAAACGTCCTCAGAGCTAGTCTGGATTTGTTTGACTGATTCCAAGGATTTTCCTGTGAAATCCCTGAAGTTTGTTTCTGTCATTAACTCCCACTTCCCTGCATCTCACCAGTCAAGCAGAGGAGGCAGTGTTGAGAGCAGTCCTGCCCTTGCCCCTTCCTTACCTTGCCCCACCCCTCTCCAGGCAGACCTCAGAGCAAAGCAGAGGGCCGCCCTGCCACCATTCGCTGTTTGGTTGGGCTCCCTCTGCCCCGTTTAGTGTGCCCGTGTGTGCTTCCTGCACACTGATCTTGGTCAGCCTGACAGCCTCTTTAAAGAAGCTGGCTACAGTGCTAATAATGTGTATGCTATACATTAAGTTTGAGGTTTTCAGATACCAGAGTTGCAAGGGAGGGACTCTAAATACCTAAAGGGTTTCTGCCTGCTCACATGTACACACACTGTTTGAATAATTTTAACATGGTTTCTAACTGCATCCATATGTATTCTTAGTACAATAGAAACAGAACAAGGGAACCTTTGGCGCATGCATGTTGCTATCATATTCCTGATGCGGTGGAGGGGCAAGGATTCAAGCCCTTGTGATCCATGGAAGTATGAGCATTCCTGGAGTATGTGCTGTGGGAACAACAGCAGAGGGTCAGTTGCCTCCTCCTGAAGAGGAGAGTAAGGAAATGTCAGAAGGCTGGGGAAAAGAGGAGGAAAGGCAAAGGGGGGTATCATCATGCCACTGACACGACATGTCTCTGGTCAGCTGCAGTTTGTAAACCACAGTGGATGCATCAGAGTCTCCTGAGAAAGGAACTCAAAGAACAGGGAATTATTGGAGAAAGACAGAAAGAGAGATCAGGAAAATGAAATTCTTAACAACTCTATGATTAATACGTGCATACACACAACGGACAACGATGCCAGCAAAATCTTTGCTAAGCTTCTGGCTAAGCCACAATGCTAATAACTTGACCAAACTATGCTGAACTGCAGCCACGTGTAACTTGCTGATCCACATTGCAGGACTATAGTCTTATTCCCATGTTTCCCTGGACTATGTACAGACAGGCAGAATCTGATCCAGAGCATTTTATTCCATCTGGCCAACTGTTATTGGGAGTTTTCACGGCCATTAATTTGGGAGGAAGGGACAGAGATTTCTCTGTGTAGCCCCCCCTCCCGCCACTTCACTTCGACTGCCCAGCTACTGAAATTTCTGCCATTAGGAGGGAATATATTAAAAAGCCACTCTTAAATTGCTAGTTATGGAATATGTGGTTTTGTTTTATATTGAATAATTT